TCTTTTTCGCGGCTCATTAAGCATAACCCTTAAAATTGCTGGGGATTTTGTATCACCATTCTTACCGCTAAAAATTACAGAAAAACTACCAAATTCTAAATCAGGATCCCTAAATAAATCTGCAAGAAGGGAAGCACAAGAATAGGCATTCTTTGATGGGCTCCTGTCAATTTTCATCCTTGAAGCTCGAGCATTTGCATAGTTTGCCATATTTGCAGCTTCCCTAAGTCCAGTGAGGAAAGCTCCATGCATAGTTGCAGGGTATCGCCTACTAGTGGCTTCCCCAGCAAAGAAAAGCCTGCCATCCCCCACACTTTCAGCTAATATATCATAATCATCTCCTGATGCCCCCACTGCAACATTAGAGTACGAACCTAGACTGAAGGGATCACCACCCCATCTGGTACATACAGTCTGGATAGGTTCTGGGACATTAATTCCTTGCGGTTCATATATACCTGCTCATAATAACTCCCACCGCATTATACTAACTACCATAAAATACTTTAATGAACTTCGGAATCAAACATAACTACTTTACAATTAATTAATAAACAATAAATCATGATTCCTAAGAATTTCCTGAAAAGATAAGCTAGCTTTTGCATAGTTCTACTTACCTGAATATTCTTTTTTTTCTCATAAGAAGCATCACCTATTCATAGAATCTTCTTGAATTGAAAAACTAAAATATCTTTTTTTTTTGAGAAATTATTCAAAATTATCTGACACACGGGGTACAAGAAGTTAAAGAGCTAAAACTGAAACTTCTTTGCATATGACTCATGAGGCATAGGGTAAACAATTATACATGATTTAGAATGTTAAGATTAGCGAGTATCACATCAGACGAATGGAGCTCCTGATTAGTTGTGGGAAAAATAACAGAGCTAAGAATTTGGTGATATGAATAAAATGAATTGGTTACCTTTAAGAATGTGTAGGACATGGGTCACTGCATCAGTTGGGGGCATTGTCTCGAACTTATGAGCAGCGTCACCTGCTACTAAAGCAATCAAGAGAGGACCACCAGCAACTGGTGCATAACTGTAAAACAGAAAGAACTCCCCTCGACTGCTTGGATCTTCGGCAAGATGTCCAAAGGTATCAACATCTGTACCCCAAAACACATAAGGAAAAAGCATGGCAACTTTATTGAGTAACCCAAAACCCACCCTCTTAATTCCGTCTAGCTTCCTCTGAGGCAACTCTGGTATAAATTTGATAGATCCACTCTTCAAAACCCCCAGTGCGACAGTACAAAGAGCCATGTCAGCCTCGTAAACATGGCTTCCAGCAATTACCTGGACACCATCAGCGCCATATCTAACACTGTGGACAGTCTTCTCATATAAGATCGGCACATTCTCAGCCAAAGCCTGAACGAGCCTTCCATTCCCTCCAGGCAGGAAGCAGTGGTCCCCTCCCATATCATATGGATCATCTTGGTCCCAAAATGCGAGTGAGAGCTTTGATACCAAGCCTGCGTTTGCATATTCCAAATTTGCAAGATGCCAATTAAACAAGTTCATCTCCTCAGTATTTACAGCATCCCCATAAACCTGCCGAAATGTTTCCAATGCCGCACCAAGTGAAACATCCGTTGAAACCTCGCCCATCAACTGCCTAAGCTTACTTGCCTTATCCAAAAGCCGATTAAAAGCTGTTTCCAGTTTCATATCCATATCAGGATCAACGGGTTTCCCATCCATTCTGTAAAGTGGACACTTATCTCTCACCTTATAAAGAGAAGAGCCCAGTTGCCTGGCAACAATCCCAAGTGGGTTCCCTAATGTACCGGTCAAAACACTCCCACCTAAATCCGCTGCTGCGGACACCCTATTCCCTCCTTCCATCTTCTTCGTGTAAACCCTCCCACCAGGACGCTTCCTACCTTCCAAGACAGTTACCTTAAACCCAAACCTCATCAACTGTCGCGCAGCAGCCAATCCAGCCAACCCCGCCCCAATAATAACTACAGTAGACTTGTTCGGTTCCGCCGGAATCCTCTCTTTGATCGCCGGCGCAACTCCAAAGTTAATATATCCATGCGTAACCAAATAGTTATAAGCATTATCCAAAAGTGTGCTGCAATGCTTAGGAATAGAATCAACAAACATCTCCTTTGTAATCCAAGTGGACGCATTTTCGCGCCATTTGGCGATGATATGGTTTCTAATCAAAATGTAATTCACCTGTTCTATGCCTCCAACGACAGAGACGACACCAAAATCAATTTCCTCATCGGTGAGGGAATCTGCGGGGAATCCGGCCGTTAGCCCGATCAATGCCTCGGCCGTCGACTCCTTGTTAATGACGATAATCTCGTCGCCAATTCCCGGACTGGGTTTTATCGTCGTAGATGAACTATTTTCTACGCTGGCTTTGCTTGCAGAACCTGGAACTGAAGTAGCAGAGTTGAAATTGTTGATACCGGGGAAAGCACCAGCATTCGGGATCGGAGGAATGTGAAACGATGTGGCAACGCGTTGAGGCCGACCTCTTCTTCGTTTCTTCGGGATCGAGAAGGAGAGAATTTGCTTGGAATTAGGGTTCGGGTTTGGAATTGAATTGAAATTAAAGGTATAGTTATAGCTAGGGTTAGGATTAGGAACATGATTGG